AGGTTTCGACTTTCGACAGAGGTTTCGTCATTTAGAGCTTAGGTTTCGACTTTCGTCATCAAGCAAAAAAGGTTTCGCCTAACAACTATACTCCAACCCTTCTTTCATACTTATCGGCTCTAAAACACCATCATAAAATGCATCACTTCGAATGGACAGAGACACGCAATGATCCCCTAGTAACAGAGCTATTAAAAACTATTGACAAAAATCATGTGCACAGACCAATTAACCAAAAATCACACATAACGCGGGACCACCTGCGAACACTGAGAAGCAATCTAAACCTAAATGAATGGGATGACACGGCATTCTGGGCAATAGCAACGACAGCATTCTACGGTTTGGCACGATTAGGTGGACTCCTTCCAACAACACAGCATGATCAAAACAAGGTACCAACATTCAGAGCACTAAGATTCGAGGAAGTCAATCAACACTCCTTCGCCACTATCCAATTGGCACGCACCAAAAACCACAATACCGCCCTGCGCACTTCCCTCATTATTAACCCAACATACGATGATCTTTGCCCAATAGAGGCCCTGAAAGCGTACGTAGTTCATAGACTGACCTCAAAAATCAACCTCCCGGACCTATTATTCGTCAGGGCCGATGGATCATGGGTAACGAAACGCTATTTCATCAACAAGCTCAAACAAGCCTTACCATCAGAGGATGTTGCTGGCCACAGTTTCAGGGCCGGTGGAACAACAGAACTGGTCATGCGGGGAGTCCAACTCGTATTGGTACAAAAAATAGGCAGATGGAACTCAGACACTTTCTACAGGTACATCCGGGCCCACCCAGCTACAATAGCGGCAATACTGATAAAGGCATACAGTAATTGAGCCGTTCTCACATAACTTTTATTAATGGCACATCGTACGCCACAATTACAAATTATAACAATAATAATAAAAAAAAAAACTCTGTTTCCGAAAAATGCAGTCAGACTAATAAAATCAAACTCAAACAAATAAATATAGTCGCATGACTACGTTCGACACCCACAATCGCAACACCTTGAATAACCAACTGCGTCAGATATTAACCACAACACACCAAAAAAAAAAAAAAAAAAGTCAATAACCCAGACACGACAGCCAAATGTCTATGGCGAGCTCAATAATGCGCACGTGACGCAACGTACAAATAAATAAATACATAAAACAAAACCAAAGTGACAAACCAACATAGGACAATGACAGAATCCCCGATACCCGAATATTGGAACAGTCTCCTGATTCTGCCATTTTCCTATTTAACAGCCGGCCTGCTTCGAGCAGGCGGGAAACCACCGGCTGATGCTGC